TACTACTACTACTACTACTGTTGCTACTACTACTACTACTACTATTACTACTACTACTACTACTACTACTACTACTACTACTACTGCTACTACTACTACTACTACTACTACTACTACTACTACTATACTACTACGACCACGACTACGACGACTACGACGACGACGACTACTACAACTTCTACTACTACTACTACTAAGGCTACTACTGCTGCTACTACTACTACTACTACTGCTACTACTGCTACTACTGCTACTACTACTACTACTACTACTACTAAGAATGCTGCTGCTGCTGCTACTACTACTACTACGACTACTACTACTACTACTACTACTACTACTACTACTACTACTACGACTACTACTTCTACTGCTACTACTACTACTACTACTACTACTACTACTGCTACTACTACTACTCCTATTACAGCCGCTACAGCAAAACAGCAGCAACAGCAACACCTACTACTACTACTACTACTACTACGACTACGACTACGACCTACCTACCCACCTACCTACCTACCTACCGACCGACCGACCTACCTACTACTACCTACTACTGCTACTACTACTACTGCTACTACTACTACTACTACTACTACTACTACTACTGCTATTACTACCACTACTAGTACCACTACTAGTACGGCTACCACTAATACTACTACTAGTACTACTACTACTACTACTACTACTACTACTACTACTACTACTACTACTACTACTACTACTACTACTACTACTACTACTACTACTACTACTACTACTACTACTACCCTACGACTCCTACTACTACACTACCACGACGACGACGACGACGACTACTACTACTACTACTACTACGACTACTACTACTACTACTACGACTACGACTACGACTACTACTACTACTACTATACTACTACTACTACTACTACTACTACTACTACTACTCTACTACTTCTACTACTACTACTATTACTACTACTAACTACTACTACTACTACTACTACTACTACTACTACTACTACTACTACTACTAACAATAATAATACGATGACGGCTACGCCTACTACTGCTACTACTACTACGACTACGACTACGACTACTACTACTACTACTACTACTACTACTGCTACTACGACTACTACCACTACTACTACGACTTACTACGACTCACTACTACGTACTACGACTTACGAGTTACTACTTAGTACTAACTGCATAATACTTACTACTGCTACCACTACTACGACTACTACTACTACTGCTACTACTACTACTACTACTACGACTCCGACTCCGACTCCGACTACTACTACTACTACTACTACTACTACTACTACTACTACTACTACTACGACTACTACGACTACTATTACTACTACTACTACTACTACGACTACTACTACTACTACTACTACTACTACTACTACTACTACTACGACTACGATTGCGACTACGACTCTCACTACTACTACTACTACTACTACTACTACTCTACTACTACTACTACTACTACTACTACTACTACTACTACTACTACTACTACTACTACTACTACTACTACGACTACTACTACTACTACTACTACTACTACTACTACTACTACTACTAACAACAACAACAACCACAACAACAACAACAACAACAACAACAATAAGTATACTGCTGAATGAATGATAGCATTACTGAAGAAGAAAGTTGCGTGGAACCACGAGATCCAAGGATATATCGGAAGGCGAGTAAGACCTCCGTTGAGAAACCGAAGCCCACATCGGAAGCCGAAGCCGAATCGCGTCGGCATTGGAATCGGAACCGGTCGACATCGAGTCGAATCGAGTCGGGGGCGTCGGACGGCGATGACGACCCCCGCCCCCGGGGGCGGCGTCCGCCGTGGCGGAGCTGCCCGAGCCCGCGGCAATCTTCCTCTCCTGCGGACGGCTGGCGCCCCGGGGGCGGGGGGGCATGCGAGATCAGCCCCCGGGCAGAGCGCACTTTTTACTTGCGGCAGTGACGGGACACATAGGGGGCGTGGAGGGCGGGGGGGGGGCAAACCGTTCCCTGTTGCAGGTCCCTGGGGGTTTCACCCACGGTTTTGCAGTAGGAAGCTTTCACACGTGCCTGCTGCGTACACGAACCGCATTTCTGAAGAAACCCCATACTTCCACAAAACCAGGCCCTGGCCCTGGGCCTAGCGGCCCATGACAAGGCATGACTCTAACACCGGGCTAGGAACGGGGGGGGCGCATACCCCCCCCGTCGTATGGGTCCGGCACAACTAAATGTGGTGCCAGACGCACTGCCGCAATGCCGGGGACGCACTGGGGGGTGGAAGAACGTTGCGTTATGGGGGGTGGCGTTATGGCCAAGATGGTGACACAAACCCTCCCTCAGGTGGTTTCTGAAAGTGTCCCTGGCCCAAAGCGTCCCCGACATGATCCCGTCGTAAATAATCAGGACGGGGCGTTTTGGGGGCCGTCAAACAAACACTCGGGATAAAAGACAAGGGACGTCAGGGGACCTCATATTGAAATACGTAATTATGACATCGCTTTGAATCCCGAACCTTTCGATCCACTTAGCCCATGTGATCTTCTGGGTAACACGAAGGGTGCTCTGGAAACCAGGGAGGGTTCAGAAATCCTGAGGGCACCTTGAGCCCAATTACGTTTTCCCAAGTTCAACGCTGGTGAACAAATCGCAGCGTGCTGCTAGCATGGCCCTCCGTGGGGCATCTGAGGCAAATGGCTGTGGAGGCGGGGCAACGCTGCTGCAATCCCGCCCACCCCGTGTGCGCTAAACTGCGCGGGCAACTATCTCGCCAAGCATTGAATTCATAACGATACTCACATCATGATGCTCGAACACTGGTATGATCTACCACGCGTTTTCTGTGGCAGCCGGTAGCCCCCGATCCGACCTCCCACCGCCTTTCCGCGCGAGCTCCCGTGCGCTCCCTCACTCCACCTCCCCCTCCCCGAGCGCGCCTGCTTTGGAGGGAGGGGCGAGGCAGCGGGGGGAGGGGGAAGGGGGGATAATGAGGAGGTGCGGGATGAGGAGGGCGGGGAAGGGTGATTCTATACGCTTCTCGATGTGTGCTTGTCATCTTTGCGGCAGGACGGGCCATGCAACTCTTCCATGTATCATTCGAATTTGAATGGGAGATCCCCTAAGGGAGTCCGAAAAGACTCGGAGACTTGGAGAATACCTCGAGGCCACGAAGGCCTTGCTCGCCGCTGCGGGCGCGGGACGCATTCGAGGAGAGGGCACCTCCAGACTGCAGGCCCGCCCCCCAGTAAGGGGGCGAGCGGGCTGGCCCGTTGGCAGACCCAACGTTGGGCGGGCGACCCCGAGTTTGCCCGAGGGGCCAGCGGCCCACCGTGGCCCAACACCAGGGGGGGACCAAGACCAGGAGGCCAGACGGGACCGAACCAGGACACCGCAGTCTGGGACCTGCCCTTCCCCGACCACGCCCTCATAGGTCCTCCCTCTTGCACGAAAACCTGGCGAGACCCTCGAAGTCCTCGCGCTGCGCAGCGCCGAGCCACCCGACGCGCATCATGCACAGGGCGGAGCCTTCTCCCTGAGCCGCCCGTCGAAGCCCTCGACTTGCGCAAAGGCTCTCGCGGAGGCAGCCATCCTCCCCGGTGATCCTCGGGCCCCCCGCGCACTCCCTGCTGCTCAGCTCGTCCGTGCTGCTGGAGGCGCCGCCGAGGGCCGCAACAACGCACTCGCTTTCCCTGCCCGTCGCGCACCGGACCCGTGACGCACCGACCCCGTGACATTCGTCGGTGCTCTGCTTCGCCTCCGTGAAGAGCTGGTCGAGCAGGTCGTCGCACCCCGCTGTCGCGGCAGGCCTCGCGCCGACGATCTTCCCCATTCCGCGGGCCGACAGCACCGTGATGCTCTGGTCCACGCCTTCGCGCTTCCACTTCATGATCTCATCCGAGAGCTCCTCGCAGGCCTTCCTTCGCGTCGCCGCTGTCATGGAACAACTTCACCTGGCCAGACACTCCATCCGCATTCGGAGCTGGTACTCCGAGAGCTGGACAGAGGAGCAGTCCACGAGGTGCGACGACGGGTGCATGTCCTCGAGCTTCTCCTCTCTTGCACACCTGCCAGACTCGACCCCCGCGCCCCGCAGCCGCGGAACAGCAGCATCAGAAAGATGTCGAAGGCGGGCAGGGGGAGAGGGGGGAGGAGTTGAGGAGGAGGAGAAGGAGAAGGAGGAGGAGGTGGAGGAGGAGGAGGAGGAGGTGGAGTAATATGACGACGACGAAAGAGGGATGAGGAGGAGGAGGATGAGGAGGAAGAGGAGGAGAAGGAGGAGGAGGAGGAGGAGGAGGAGGTGGAGGTGGAGGAGTAATATGACGACGACGAAAGAGGGATGAGGAGGAGGAGGAGGATGAGGAGGAGGAGGAGGAGGGAGGAGGAGGAGGAGAGGAGGAGAGGAGGAGCGGGGGATTGCGAGATTACGAGCCCGTGGAGCGCAAGCGAGTTGCCCGCGAGCGCAATGGAGCAGAGAGGAGGCCCCGCCCACCCTCCGCTGCACACCTGCGAGACCCGACCCCCGCGCCCCGCCGCTGCAGAACAGAAGCACTAGACAGGTGTCGAAAACGGGCAGGGGGAGAGGGGGGAGAAGAGAGGAGGAGGAGGAGGAGGAGAGGAAGGGAGGAGACGGAGGAGGAGGGAGGAGGACTCGGAGGAGGAGGACGAGGAGGGAGGAGAGGAGGAGGAGGAGGAGGAGGAGGAGGAGGAGAGGAGGAGGAGGAGCCCCCCTCGGCGCGGCCCCTTGGGGCCCCCGCGGCGGCCTCCCGGCGGCCCGCATCGGCTGCTGGCGGCCCCTCGGCGGCCCTCGGTGGCCCCTCGACGGCTCCCCGGGCGGCCCTCGGCGGCCCCCTCGGTGGCCCTCGGCGGCCCTCGGCGGCCCCTCGGCGGCCCCCTCGGCGGCCCCGCGGCAGCCGTCGGCCGGCCCGCCGCCGTTTGCTCGGCCGCGCGGCGGGGCGCCCCCCGCTTCAGAGGCACGAGGACTCCGCGCGCGGGGCGCCCGCGGGCCCGCCCAGCAGCGCCGCGAGCGCCCGGGAGGCGATGCCCAGCGAGCGCTGCAGGGAGGCCTCGTTCCAGCGCCGCATGTCCTCCGGCGGGCCAGTAGGGTCGGGCGAAAGGGGGGGATGGCAAGGGGGGGGGGGTGAAAATCAGCTCACTTAGCTGATTTTCCCGGCGCCTCCCGGCGCCGGAGGCGGCTATGTATCGAGGAATGGGCCCCTCGGTGAGACCGAAACCAGCTGCATGCAGCAAAATTCGTAACCCCCCCTTTCCCAATCCCCCCCCTTTCGCCCGGCCCGAGGGTCGCAGAGCCCAGGGGGGAGCGAGCGGGGGCAGGCCGCAGAGGGCGGCGGGGCATCTCAGAAGCCGTCGCGCCTGCTGAGGCACCGCTTCTGGCTTCGGGAGCGGATTTCACTGGGAACCCGTGCCAAGACACACCCCGCTTGCCTCCAGGGTGCCCTGGGTTTCGTGGGTTTCGCTGGTCTTACGATGGACAGCGCGACACTGTTGTGGAAGGTTTCTTGTGATCAAGCTCCTACTGTAGAATACTTCTCAGAAGGCCGGAGGTCTTCTGGGCCTTCTGAGGAGGCCCGCCCCCTATGACTTCCCCCCTGGGCTCGCCGCCGGCTGGAGAGGGCAGCCGGCGGGGAAAGGTCAGGAGGGAAAGAAAGCGATGACCATGACCAAGACGGTACACAGAAACGTCGGTGTCGCTCTTGGCCACCGCCGATCTGAGTCACCATCAATCTGTGGATGATCCTGGCGCGTCGGCGACGGCCAGCATGGACCATCGCCGACAAGATCCTGCGACATGTTGGCCATGGCCATCGACGTGCTCTTCTCTCGATGATCGGGCTGGGCGTAAGGGTGCTAGGAGAAAGGAAGCCGGCGAATCAAGCAACTTCCATGGCACTGGCACTGGGGGGCATCATCGCGTCGAGCAGTGACCGAGAAGAGACTCGGTGAAGGCTGGCGGCAAAGCTGCCATCGAGATCGACTGGAAAGAGAACACGCGAGAGGGCGGGAGACCCCTCCGAGGGCCACCTTGTTGCCATCCGTCACCGTGCCCCCCTGGTACTGCCTGCCTACCAGACCACCCCAACCCAACCCGAAGACCCGAATTTCGGGTTGGGGGGGGGTATGGGCTCCATATGTGTTTTTTCGACGTTCCCGGACCCCCCCCCACTAGAAATCGAGGGTAAATCCGACCCTTCGGGTTGGGTTGGGGTGGTTTGGTGGGTGGAGAGGTACGTTGAGGCGCGTGGAAGAGTCTGTCCCGTGAGGTTTTTTGGAATTTCAATTAGGGATCCCCCTCCCTTCCCGCAGGCTCCTGCGCGTATCGCCCTTTCTTTCCGAGGCCACCTCCTTCGCGCTCGCTCGAGGATTGTGTGCGTGTTCAGCACGGCAGCTAGATGCTGAATCCGCCAATTTCCCGCGTGCCCGCTCGAAGATGGTGCAGCTAATGACTGAACTCCCTTTTTTTAACGCGTGCCCGCTCGAGGATGGTGCACTTCCCGCATGGCAGCCAATGCCTGAATCCCCATTCCATGCGCGCACGCTCGAGAAATGTGCACTTCCCGCATGGCTGCTATACCCTAGGCGCATCCCGCGCGCACACGCTCGAGGATCGTGCAATTCCCACAGTTCCAGGCGCTGCGATCCCTCATTGGAGACGACGGGTAGGCGTCCCGAGTATACAAGACGGCCCGCGCAGGCAACCAAGGACGCCAAGGTGGCCCCAGAGCGGCCGAATATTGATTCAAGATGGCCCAAATGGACGAAGAACACACGGCATGAACATAAACTTTTGGCGCTCCGCGCGGAATTCTTGTATCTGCGCTGGGCCCCCAACCCTGGCGCGCGGAGCGCGCCAGAGGCAGCGCCGGAGGCGTGGCCGGGGGGGCCCAGCACAGATCCAAGAGATCCGCGCGGAGCGCCAACAGTTTATGCTTATGGCGTTTGTCCTTCTTCGACCCTAGGCTTATGTCGGCAGGGCATCCTAGAGGGCCTCATCAGGGACCCTTTGTTTTTTTCCCCGCCAGGCTCCCGCAGGAGCATCCGCAGGCCCTCGGAAATTTCCCTGCAAGCCTCCCGCGGGGCACCCGCAGAGCACATGCAGGGCCTCACCGAAAAAACAAAAAGCATCCGCAAAGCCATCCGCAAAGCATCTGCAAAGCATATGCAAAAACACAAAAAAAAAGAAAAACAAGCAATCATATGTCTTGCACGCAACACGATCGTCTCAGCGTAGGAAGAAGTTCAGACTGGCGCGCCCCCGAGGCACCGACGATTGATATGCATGTTATAGGAAAGGCTAGACGAGTATATATGTGAAGGCGCTGGGAAGCCTCATAAGGGGGCTGGCGGATATATCTTCAGAGTGCAGACGGGGCTCCTAAGAGGGGACTCATAGGGGGCCTCATGGGGGGGTCGGCGGATGTACGGGGGCTGGGGGAATTCTTGGGGGGGCCTTACTGAGTGAATGCGCTGGGTGGCCTCATATGGGGGCTGGCGTATCTAGCTACAGATCGCATGCTGGACTCCTGAAGGCCTAGGTTGAGAATCTGGGGGCGTCCACGGCAGGGTGTCTAGGGCAGGGTGTTCTGGGGTGCTTAATGGCTCAGGGCGGGTTCGCGATGTGTCATACGTGCCAGCGCAGAGATATAAACGGTTAGTTATCTTGACCCGAACTTTTAGTCCAAAGTTTCAGGCGGTCGGAGCCGAAATCCATACGCGCGGTAAGTTTTGGAAAATAGTGAGACATCGGGGAGGGAGGGGATGTGACTTCAGGGAGAGGGGGGGCGGATTGAGAACCCCAGAGATGAGAAATGATGGAGGGGGGCACAGTACATTATATATTTAAGAAGAATCAAAAGGGCAAACATAGGTAAACGAAGAGATGAGGAACATCTACCAGACAGCCAGCCTTGAAATACCAACCCTGGCAATCAACAGACAACACATCTCGTTCATGACCGTAACCATTTTGGCTCAACTTTCGGCATTCTCCATATCATGTGCGTACCACTTGTACTCATGTACGCATACATAACAATTTTGTTCGCGTCAGCCTTTATGGCAGGCGCAGGTGACTCGTGGCTTGCGGCTTTGAGCGACGTTGGCAGCGACACGGCCGTCGACGACGATGTGGGCGAGAGCTGGCTTTCAGCGCTGGGCGCCGTGAGCGATAAGGCTGACGCTGTGCAGGAGCTGCCGCAGCCAGATGGAGACGACTGGTTGGCAGGTGTGGACGCCCTCTCGTGCGACGACTGCTCTGCCGACGGCGACGTGGACGGCGAGCTCGACCATGAGATGGCGTTGGTCCCCGTAGAGGTGAAGAAGGATGTCTACTGGGCATCGCAGGCTTGCAGGCACGTGCCCGACAGCGACCTCGACGAATCAGCTTTCAAGATAGCCACAGAGGTGATGGACGACGACCCGCTCACAGGGCGGATCACCAGCAACGCGCGTAACCTCGACGAGAGCCGCTCGAAGTATAGGGACACGCTGAAGATCATGGCAGGGTGTGCGTTGCAGGTCTTAGAGGCGTTTGAAATGCAAACCGTCGCTGCGATTTCGATTTGTTTTTTTGGTGGGCCATCTCGGCCCCAGGCCGGGGAAAAAAACACTGGAAACCAGATCGCGATGCAGCGGCGGTTTGTTTTCAGACGCCGCCGCAGGTCGAGCGCAACGTATGGAAACACGCTGAGGAGCTATTGGTTAGCTACGCTGGCTCTTCCAAGAGAGTGGAGCTTCTGTGCTACGTGGAGTACGCCAGCTATGACAGCACCGATTTTATCTTGCAGAGTACGCAGACAGTGACCGAGACGCTCGACGACGGACACTCCATCGTGGACCACGGGGCCCCTCCAGGACAAGAGCCAGATGAAGCTAACACCGTCGTTCTTGTGGAGAAAACAGTGGGCACGAAAAAGGTACTACAGATGGACACGAACGTTTTGCTTTTGCTGAAGATTGATGGTCGGTATGCGATTCTCCGTGGGAATATGCTATCGTGGCTCCAGGTGTGCGATAGGAACTCTGCTAAAAATTACAAGGCTGCTATTTCAGAATATTCGATTGGGACATCAAATGCAGCTTCGTTCCTCAGGAGGCTTCGCATTGTTTGCACTGACGGGTACACGGCAAATCTGAAGGCTGAGCGCCATCTATTGTCTGAGCGCGAAGGATGGGCAGTGCTACACCTTCTTTGTCGGGTACACACAGTGTCTGGATTCCACACTAAGGTTTACGACATGCACGCGGAAGATATATCGGGGCTTGTTGCGACGACGCTTTCACTGAGGCTGGCTGGCCAGATGAGCTTGCTACGAAAGGCTGCCAGGCGGATCATTAGACAGAAGTTGGTGATTGTGACAGGCGTAGCTCTGGATGCCAAGGCAGTTGCGTTCAGGAACCTGGTGATGGATACATTCTTGGACGCTTCTCCTCAGTGCGTGGCGCTTCGAATGCTGCTCGAACGGTGTGCGCCAGGGGATTGGAGAGATAAGGACCGTATGATGTTCGTTGCACTGCCAGGGGAGACTCGAGCTGACGTCCTTCGTCTGCTGTTCAAGGAGTTCGTGCCAGCAATCTTCCCCCACGCCCCGTACTTGTTCCCTCGCCACAGGTGGACTGGGGCAGACATCACGTTTCGCGACGTCGGCCTGCCGATGAACATCCACGGCCTCTTCGGGGCGACATACATGAGCTACCTGAACGTCGAGTACGGCGACGAGGATCCTGGCGACTACCCAGTCGCGCAACCCGACCTGCAGCTGGTGCCGCATGAAGGGCAGCAGGCCCCGCCCGAGGATATCGAGGGCGAAGGTCCAGCTGCCGATGCGCAGCCGCCCGAGAAGGATAAGGAGGCGCCCGAACCTGGCGCGCAGAAGGCCGATCACCCACGAAAGGCCTTCGCCGAGCAGAGCAAGGCATACCGCGGCCAAGCGCGCGACTGGATTTCCACTGAGCCGTCCATCCAGGTCCTGTTCTTCAGGGCGGTTTTGGAGCCAATCAAGAAGTTCCTGGAGATGGAGTTGGAGATGGCAAGCGAGGAGTGGGAGATGAATCAGGACTGTGCCCTTCT